AAAAGGTATCAAGATACATCATGTACAAGTACAAATTTCCTATAATGAATGTGATCACTATGTATACCTATACACAAATTGTACCAATAAACTTAAGTAAATTAAATGAACAACAACAAAAAACCCCACAGGCCTGCCAGACATGGTGGTCAATGCCCATAATCTCAGCATTTGGAGCTGGTGTGATGGTATACTACTATAATCCCAGCACTTGGGAGGCTGAGAAAGAGGAATCACCTCAAGATCAAGGCCAGGCTGAAATTTATAGTGAGATCACCTCTCAGAAAAACAAAGATAAACCAGGCATGGTGGCGCACACCTGTAATCCCAGCACTTGGGGTGCTGAGGGAAGAGGATCACTAAGAGTGGGAGACCACACTGGGCTACCCAGTGAATTCAGTGCCAGCCTGAACTACATAAGTGGACATGTCTAAAAAAAAATTTTTAAAGCCCCCAAATAAATAAATAAATAAATATAAAAACAAAACTCTCAACAAGTGAGAGGCTGAAACAGAAGAATTGCTCTAAATTCAAGGCCTGCCTTGAACTATGTAGCAAAAAGCAGATAGAAAGAGCTGCAAACAAAGAAGCAAACAAGAAAAGACAACCTTTCAGATAATACTCCTGGCCGTGGATATAGCTCAGTGGCATAGTGCCTGCCTGGCAAGTACAAAGTCCTGAGTTTGATTTCCAGTACTGGGAAAAAACAAAACAAAACCAGATAGTACTCCTAAGCTGGAACACTTTCTCCTTGCCTTGATAAAACATTAAAATCTGCTCCATTTTTCTCAGCACTCTAAACTCTATGGAAAGGCCTCACTTAAATAGTCTCTGCTAATAGGTGTGCCACCTAATTAATTAAAATGATTTTGGGGGGCCAGGGATATAGCTCAGCAGCACAGCACCTGCCTGGCAAGCACAAGGTCCTGAGTTCGAATCCCAGTACCAAAAATAAAATAAAATAAAATGATTTTTTCACATTTCTGTATATGACACATGGAAGTTCACTAGACATGTGGCAAGTGCTCCACCACCAATGCACATCGCCAGCAATGTAAAACCTTTCTTTGGATTCACATGGTATTATAATCATCCATCATGAGTATGGCAATGTGGGGACATACTGGAAATTTAGGAATTCACTCTCATGAGGAAAGCGCATTGTGGGTGTGAGATGCTGTACTACAAACATCTATAAAACTGATGTCTACCTGATCTGCTGATGGGATGAATGAGAGCAGGGAGGCCGCACACCAGAGCTCCCCAAATCAGCCCTTCAGGGAACAAGGTCTCCCCACAACTCCTACTATCCGTGTACAGTTGGCCACGCTGCAGTGAGCTGAGGCTGCCTGAGACTGCACTCGGCTGGCTGGAGGCTGTGCCTAGACAGGGTATTGTGTACACAAAAAAAGACCAGCCACAGGCAGGGTAAGAGGGACAGAGGGTGCACAGTGTGAAAAACCAGAGGGAATTCATACTATGGAAGGAATGCTCCACTATGCAGGAAGGCTCCACTCCACCTTTGCTGTTCCTACCTCTTCTGCCCGGACCTCACCCTGATCTGATCCCATCCTATCCCACAACCTCACCACTGGGTGGCTTGAGTGTCTCCCAGGGTCCTTCTCACACAGCCTGCAGCCAGTAAAAGCCCTAAAGGGAAGAGGTCTAGCAGGTCACGTGGCACTCATCATTGTGTTCAGAATCTTCTACACAGATTTGCTCTGACCCCATGCCCCACCCTCTGAACTGAGACTGGCAATACAAACCAATCCTACCAGTCTGAGGGGAGCTGAAATAGAGATTGGAACATTTTCCTGGTGGCTCTGTTTCTCCTGGATCTTGAAACCTGGAAAAATTCAGTCGTTTTTCCACATCTGTTGAAACATCAATATTCTTTGCTGTGTTCCTATGAAGAGATAGGAAACACTGTTGGGATTTGGGGATTCAAGGGGTCATTTCTCGTAGTTTTTTTCTGGAAAATGTATAGGTTGGAATGTCAACTAGGGAAACTTTATGGTCAACTGAGGACTTGTGAAACAGAGCCAACATTTGAGGTATCACGTGGCCTTGGCTCATGCTGCCCGAATGAGTTGTTATACCAACCTTTTGGTTCCTGGATAATTTTTTCTTGTTCTGCCATGACTCATCGAAACAAGAGGATCAACCTGATATGGTGGCACTCACCTGTGATCCCAGCACTCAGGCTGAGGCAGGAGGAGCCCAACAAATTCAAGCCCAGCCTGTGAGGACAAGGCCACCCTGATCAGCATGGTGAGACCTTGTCTCAAAAAAATAAAAAAAGAGAGAAAAGAAAGAAAGAAAGAGAGAGAGAGAGAGAGAGAAAGAAAGAAAGAAAGAAAAAGAAAGAAAGAAAGAAAGAAAGAGATCAAAAGCACACAAACGAGTGCAGACAGGGACCCTTTCTCCAACTTTCAAGCTGATCATTTTTGGCTAGAAAAGTAATTCTGCCTCAGAGGCAAGTAGCAGTAAATTGTAGTAACAATAAACTTAGGAGAACTGTTCCTATCAGAGCCTATGACCAGAACTGGGGGAGTCTAAAGACCCTTTAACAATCATTACTTACCATGGCCTTCTTAAAGAGGAACTTGAGGTCTTCTGCTGGTTCACAAGTGTTGTTGAAATCCTGCCCAACAGGGTGCAGTCAGGGATTGTGTCACTGGGAGTATCTCCCTGTGCTGTCCAGAGCTTCACCTAGGAATCTTGGATCCAGGGATCTAGTCCTGCCACCTTAACTGCTGTCAGGGTAAACAGGATAAAAGTTTATTGGTCCCTCATCTGGGCTCACCCAAGACTGTGTTATCAAAAGGGGGAGGTGGCTGGGGATATAGCTCAATGACATAAGCACCTACCTGCCAAATTCGAGGTCCTGAGTTCAATTCCCTGTACCAAAAAAAAAAAAAAAAAAAAGAAGACTATATTATCTGAGGTCTTGATTGTCACCAATGTCTCTGACCATAAGAGGGAATCACTTGATGGACTCAGTCCAGAATTCATCCTTCTCAGAGCTGAGAGGTATTGTTGGAAATGGACTAGAGACCACACCTGAGCTAAGGTTCCCTGTTTCCTCATCTACCAAGATATCTTTTGTCAAGAAGGGCCCCTGTACACCATCTCAAAGGGAGAGCATCCCTGGAAGCTGGGAATGTTCTGAGCCCTAGTAAAAGCTATGGGTAAGAGCCGTTTTCAGAGATCTTGTATTTCTATTCAAGTTTGAGTTATTGGGTCCCTCTCAAGTTTACCTTCTACCTCCTTGACTGTGTACACATTATTACCAACAGGGGGACAAAGCCCCCCCGCCAAATGGGTTTATCATCAACTTTGAATGCTTTAATCTCATTTTGAAGCAATACACTTTTTTCCTCTACCACCACTATAGTAAGCTCAACACCTTCCTCAGTGGCCTTCAGAGCTTTTACTTCTGTACAACCTTCTTTTACATTTGCTCTTTACTATCTTGAAACAAACTCCTCCAAAATTCTTTTCTAATGCTCCAGATTCCTAGATTCCTTTGTCTTTTAGTTTACATGAGCTTCCTCTGACAGTCAGAAAACAAAAACCAAACAGGTAGTTCCACTGTAGGACAAGTACTCAAAACATCACCACCCCATACTTAAAATAACTAGAAGAAAATAAAGAAAAATCAGCCCAAAGTTCAGGTGTCCAAACACTGTAGAATGTTCCTGATGATCACAGGCTCACAGCTTCCGAGAAGTAACACCATGGTGAAATAACACAAGCCCGCAGGCCCCTTCTGGGGCTGGAAACTGACTCAGCAATTTCACTGGTATTCAAGACAGCGTCCTTTTGGGGGCCACAGTATTTGGGGACATTTGTTTTGATAGCTTCCCAGCTGACAACACTGTTAACACATGGGTTCTCTTTTCCCTGTAATCCCTGATCCTTACCTGCTCCTGGTAAGTTCCCTTGAACAGCAATCTTCTCTTGATCTATTTTGTCTTTTCTTTATTCGGCTTCTCTTGATTCCTATTATCATATACTTCCTGCATTAGATCATACAGTGTCAGCAATTTCTTCACTTCTGCCATCAGTTTCTGGAGCTTGCTGTGGACAACAGGGGCAAACTGTATCAGATATTTATCTTTGATCAACACCACCCCTGCCCATGAATCATGACTGCCCATTGTGTACTTTGTCATGGCATTCCCAAAATGTTGTAGGAACAGAGGTGCCATTTTCCTCCTGGTAGACCTGACTCACCTTAGAATAATTGATGAGCTTCACCCTGGCCCCTCTTAGTCTCTCTTAAATATAATAACTAAAATGCCTGTTGCCCCATTCTTTACCTGAGTGTTCACAGATGTGATGGTGATTTGGCTGTGAGATCTGTTGCCCCACTGAGAGCTAGAGTACATTCAGCTGATTTGGTTGGCCTGGCAGGTCTCCCCTTCCTCCCTCAATACTCTATGTGCATCCCGCCCCAAGCTGAGTGCTTAGTCTAAGAGGATGGCCACACCTGTGGAGGAGGACTAATCCTTGGTCAAGGGTATACAAACCTCCAAACATGCAGTCAAGGTCCATGTGAGTCTTCACTATCCCACCCTTGAGCAAGAAGAGGGCAGGACTCCTCCCGTCATGTTCTATGGATGTCTGTTCCCATCATAGACAGAAGTATTTATTCTGTCTTTACTGCTGCCTCCTATAACTTTTCCCTCTCAGCTTGATTAAGGGTCTCCTCCAAAATCAGGGTGATATCCTCCCATATGAGCTTGAACCTTGCAGAGGAACACAAAGCCTCAAACATACCCATCAGGGTCATTCGTGTAGCACCCTAACTTCTGCTTCACTTCACTCAGTTCAAAGAATGTAAAGGGAAACTGTACCACCTCTCTGGGTAGTGCTGGCATCAGGGGAAGCTACCGGTTTCATGGAGTTGAAGCTGCAGACCCTTGGGGCAGATTTTGTGGGTATTTTGACTTCTCACTCACTCAAAGTTTATCTTCCTGGGCCTGCTGTACTGCTTCACCCCTACCCTGTCATGAGCCTGGGGTAGTTGGCCCTAAGGCAGTCCCTATAGGGAAAGGCAGCCTCTACAGGGAACTATAAAACATTGGCACTCCTGGGGAAGAAATCAAAAGCCACACAGCTGAAAAATCTGAAATGATAACAGTGGAGGTAACAAAACAGATTAGTAAGGTGCTTAGCAAATGTGAAGCAGAGACAATAAAAGGAGTAGTGACCTAATTAAAGAAATGATTAGTGAATCTAGAACTTTGCACAAACAAACCTAATAGACATCCACAAAGTGTCCCACCAACAAGAGCAGAATATACATTCTTCTCAGCAGCACATGTGACTTTTTCCAAAGTAGGCCTCATACTAGCCCAAGAGTACACTTAGGTAAATGGAAAACAATCAGAATTAATACATTCATGTTATCAGATCATTGTGCAATGAAACTAGACTTTAGTGGCAAAAGGAATAGAAAAAATTATGCAAACACATGGAAAATGAATACTGTCCTTGAGTGATCAATAGATCACAGATAAAATCAAAGAGGAGACGACACAGTACCTACAATTAAGTGATAATGCCAGTATGCCATACCAGATTCTATAAGATGCAGACAAAACTTTTGTAAGATGGAAGTCTAAAGTGGTGAATTCCCATATTAGAAAAAAAAAAAAAATCATCATAAGAGAATTTGTACCTAAGCATGTCTTAATTATTCATTTTTTCCAGTGCCCTTCTCTCCCTTCAATGTTTCTTTCCCCTTGCAACTTACAAAAGTTTTGCTCCTGTTTATTCTTTTATTCTCACTTTCTAGAATTTTTCTCTTCTTTCCCATCAACTCACCCCTTTTCAGGGGCTGGGGATTTAGCTCAGCGGCAAAAGCGCCTGCATGGCAAGCGCAAGGTCGTGAGTTCGGTTCCCGGTACCGGAAAAAAAACACAAAAAAACAAAAAACAAAAACTCACCCCTTTCCCCCTTCCCATTTGAACATGTTCCTCCTCATTCTCAATGTCTGTCCTCCATTTTGCTTTACCCTTTGAGTTTCATATATAACAAAGACAATGTGCTATTTAAACTTGTAGGTCCAATTTATTTCACTTAAAATTATGGTCTCAAAGTGTCCTGATTTACCTAAAAATGTCTCAAGTTATTTTTTCTTTATGGCAGAGTAGTACTCCATTGCACATACACACACTTTCTTTATCAACTCATTTGTTGGTGGGCATATCAGCTGTTTCTAGATTTAGCTATTATGAATTGTGCTGCTATAATCAAGGGTATTATATATCACTGTACTGTGGTGCTTGTAACTCACTTATTGGTTGATTTCATGATGATAGCTATTAGTTTGGACATGGAATCTCAGGATTGTTTTAATTTGCATTTATTGAATGCCCAGTGCTGCTAAACATTTTTTAAATATGTTTATTTGCTGTTTGTACTTTTGCACCTGAGAAGTGTCTATTCCCTTCAGATGCCGACCTTTGAATTAGGTCTCTAAATTTGGGGAGGCCTAACTCTTCTGAGTTCTTTATATACTCATAAGTGGCTTTTACCAGATTGTGATAAGGTCTATCCATAATTATTTTCTTCAGAGTTTTCTAATGATTGGTTTTTTGGACTTATCCAAGCCTTTTTACATTTACTGACATGATCATATGATATTTTCCTTTGGGGGCTGGGGATTTAGATCAGCGGCACAGCACCTGCCTGGCAAGGTCATGAGTTTGATTCCCGGTACCGGAGTAAAACAACAACAACAAAAAATTTTGTATTGTTTTTCACTCTCAATTATATTAATTTCTGATCATATGATTGTAATTTCCTTATATGAACTTGATTTGACTTTAGATTATTGTTGTTTTTCTAAGACATTAAGGGCATCATTAAGTAATTTATGTGCACTTACTCTTTCTGATGTGGACATTTACAGTCATAATATGTTCACATTGTCCGGTATAGTCATTCCATTAGAATTCTAGGCATTATTGACTTCATTGTCTCTTTCTAAAGAAAGAGAGGGGAATTATGTATGTATGTATGTATATACAGGATAGCTAACATAGTTGTACTACTGACTTCTATCACTTTACTGAAAGGAACAGTTAATGATTACTTGCTTGATCTATCTTGCATGTCTGTTTTCCTGAGAAACCACTTTGAAGATATCAATACATAATACAACAACCATTGTTAATTTCCGACCACTTCGTCTGTAACCCTATATTGCTTATATTGTTCCTATGCTATTTTGCAAATGGATGTCTGTTTGTTAATGTTTTCCTTTTATTTTTAAAATAAATTTTTCAAAAATAAACTGCATGATCATAGGCAGCACTTCTGCATTTCCTGTTTTTAATATACAAAAATGCATCCATCACAATGGGAGAAATTATCATTATGAAGTTTGTGGGTTTGGTAGACACCTGTGCTCTCTGCTTGACTTTCATTGTCAGATCAAAGGAAAAAATTTGAGAGAACAGATGCAATGATGAATAGCAACACTAAAAATTATGGTGGAAAATAAATGTGCTCAGGATAAAATGTCCAATTTTACTCTTGCTCCTAGGCTGGAATAGCAGTACACAATGCAAATTTTTGATGGTGGAAAGAATTTGAAATGCGCTCCAATAAAATTAGCCACATATTCAAAGTGTGATACTGTTTCCTTCAATGTAGTACATTTCATTAAGTATATAAGGAACATAATATTTCATTTTAAAATATAAAATGAAGTGATATTGCTTACCTGCTGTCTAATTTGATTATTTAAATAGCATTACATTTTTCACTTAGATTTTCACCTTAGCATGGAAAAGTTAGAATGTAACTCCAAGGGGAACTAAGCAGCTAGTGTATTTATAGTGAAAACAAACCGTGCTCATGCCTGTAATTGCAGCACTCAGGAGCCTGAGGCAGGATTCCTGCAAGTGCAAGGCCAGCCTGGGGTACAAAGTAAGTTCAACAACAACCTGAACTGCATAGCAAATTCCTCGCTCAAAAAGACAGAAAAAGAAGAGAAGCAGAAGGAGAAGAAGAAGAAGGAAGAGGCAGAAGAGGAAGAGGAGGAGGAGGAAGAGGAAGAGAAAGAAGAAAAGAGAAAGAGAAAAAGAAAGAGAGAGAGGAAAAAAAAAAAACAACCCAGAATCTTATAAAACACTACAGTGTTATGAAGTGAGAAGGCAAATAAATATAACTCAAGGACACCAGAGATGGCTTAACACTGACAGCTTCCATGAGTTTTATGTGATTGAAGATATATACTTATATCTATACCACTTTTGGCAATCATCAGTTGTTTTCATTGACAATGAGGATAGTGTAAAAATTTCTCAGAAAGCTGGGAAAACACAACACAACTGAATCTCAAATATTACTCAATTTCTTTTTTACTGAATGATTTCAGACTCTTAAGTTAAAAAAATGATTTCAAAGACCAAATGATTTTTACAGCATTACAAAATAGAATATAATAGGTTTTTTTTTTTTTTTTGGTCTTTTTGAGACAAGGTCTCACTATGCAGTTCAGCTTGGCCTTGAGCTTACTTTGTAGACCAGGCTGGTCTCAAACTCGCAACAGTCCTCCTGCCTCAGCCTCCCAAGTGCTGGGATCACAGGTGTGCACTACCGTGCCCAGCTCTAACAGGCTATTTCAATCCAAACAATAGAAACTATTCTCAAACAAACTTCAACCCTGTCAAAGTTTCATTGCATATCTTCTCACTGATGAATCAAATCGTCCTTTATGCTTGTCTGTAGGGATGTTCATTACTGTTATTCATTATATCTTTTTTGAGAGAGATCTGAAGGTCCTCCTCCTGCCTGTCAGTGAGGGGACTCACAATGGTATATATGTTTGTATGATGACTGACAGATTACTACTAAAAAGGGTCATGATAGTATGATCATGAAAACTAAAATATATATGGTGAAACACCCATAATTTTACATATTATATGGCAGGCATGGTGGTCTGTAAGCCCAGCTTTCAAGAGGCTAAGGCAGGAGAATAGCATAGAGTTTGAGGCCAGCCTGGGCTACATAGGGAGTTTAAGGTCATCCTGAATTACACAAGACACTGTCACAAGGGCTGGGGATTTAGCTCAGCGGCACAGCGCCTGCCTGGCAAGCGCAAGGTCGTGAGTTCGATTCCCCTACCAAACAAAACGAAGAAAGGGAATACTTTGGGGGCTGGGGATTTAGCTCAGTGGCACAGCACCTGCCTGGCAAGTGCAAGGTCGTGAGTTCGGTGGGGGGTGGGGGGATGGAGGGTGGGGGGTCGGGGTGGTGCCGGGAGCCTATCTCAAAAAATTTACATGTTATAATGGCCCTGATATCAAAAAAGAGGAAAAATTAAATAGGAAAACCTTGGTTTGAAAGCATATTTCATGCTGTAAATCTTTGTAATCCAAACCACTCATGTATCAAATCAAATTTCCCCATAAGACATGATAGAAATTCACATGATTCATTCCACAACACAAAAATATTCATATAAAATGAATACGGTAGTATAATACAAATAAAGACAATACAAAATATAAAACAAATTAATATGCACTTACCTTTGAAAACCTGTGTGGCTATTGTAAGGAAATGAGGATAGGGTGACTTTCACTATCACTAACAGGACCTCTGCTAACCATTGTCTCAATAGAATCTTTTCCTGTACCTTTAACAAAGAGCCTAGAAAAAATACCTGCTTTTGTCTCCTTTTGAGGATTTCAAGGAAATGTGACACTGTCTTGTTATTAAACAAATTTATGGCTCCCACTGCCACAGACTTATTTGGGTGGTATATTCTACAAAATTTTGTAGTTTCCCACATCTTACACATCTCTCTAGTCTCATTTGAAGTGAGAGATTCCTCCAACTTTTTGTCCATCTCCTCTGCAGGTGACATATGCTCCATAACATCTTGCAGTTGGGAGATGATCACCCAAAATCCCTCAGCAATTGAGAGAGACAGACGATCCCTTGGTTCACTTGTGATCATGTGTCATTTGGTATCAGGTGCTACTCATATTACAATGCATCACTTGTTTATCAAGGTAAAATTTATTGGAGACGTTTGTCTTGCAGAGTAGTCACTGACAGACAACTTACTTTCAATCCCATGTTTTACTTCAATGTGTATATATGTTGGGATATAGATATAGATATAGATATAGATATAGATATCTTCTCATAATATAGAAAACATGACATTTTCTGGTCTGCACATTATTAGAAAACAGTTGAACTCCGTTAAAATATG